ATTAGCTCTTATTAGCAGTTATGATAGTATTATTGTAAGTTGCTAAAAAATTTATATCCTTGTTCTAAAGACTAGAAGAAATTGGTGGAGGGGAGATAGAATGGGATAGAAACAAACAAAAAGGATGAATTAAAGATGTCATAGTTAAGGAGATAATATTACCTAACCTATATGCCCCTTAAGAGGCCTGAATAGTGGTTTGTAAAGCTCCTAGTGGTTACTGCACTCCATGAGTACTCCACAGCTCTTGATCATTGTTACAGCTACACTTCTCATTTTTAGAGGTATTTGTTCGAGCTTACCCATTCTGTTCTGCCTCACAAACTATAAGCAACAAATTTTTAAAAAAAGGTAGGTAAAATAAAATAAAGGTTTTTTTTAATGAATATTAAGTCCAATTACAGTATAGCTAAGTGTGAGCTCCAAATTGAATGGATTTTATTAAGTATTAGCTTCAGTATTTTACAGTATATGCCCTGTGAATATGTGTTGCATTGAATTAAAGTAAAAATCCAACATAAAATGTGCCCAATTTTGGTTCTGGAGGCTTTGTGATTATTTTAGTCTTTCTTTTTCAGCTTGAGAAGGAACTCGTTTCCCTAATCATAAAACTATCATTCTAAATCACTCCTTAAAAACATGATCTGCAATGAGGTAATATTCCATACAAGTGGTTATTGTTGCAACGAACTGTCTCCTTTAAACCATCATCACAGTGAAAAGGCTTTGAGAAGCATCCCTGGCAGCCATCGGAAAATCTTCAGAGTGGGAAGGGGTAGCAGAACCAGTGACTGCCCTGTGGAGGGACCATACTTGCACATCACCTGACAATGTTACCATAGCTTTTTCTTAAATGAAGGACATGCTTGCTTCTTGCATTGCCTAAACAGGCTATAATTAGATACCAGTCTACCATACTAGCCCTTGATTTCAAACTGTTTTCTAAATTTTTCATGTAGTGAGTTGAACATTTCTAAGAACTGTGTTGCCAATGCCTTGATCTGCCTGGAGAGAGGAAGGGAAACAGGGTTAGGCCAAGAGGCATTTTCATGTCTCCTCTGATTCCATCCAGGAACTTTTAAATAGCCAGCCTCAGTGGTGATAGGAGGTGACTGTGATCCTTTTTATCCCTTATTTTTAAGAGTATAAAATTTCTAAATTAATTTCTAAATTAAAATAATAAGGGGAGCAAAGTATATGTGAATGTACTAGAACATGTCTTAATAGCAGCCAAGCACAGGAAGCAAAGTCCAGATAATCATTCAGGAGAGAAATCTAGAATGACTAAGAGCAGGAAATGAGTTCCACTATGCAAATGTCAAAAGAGCTAACTCATGAGAAGAGTCCCTTTACTGCTATCTGAGGGCAAGAGGCAAACACGATGCAAAGAGAGAGAGAGGACAGAGAGCTCCATCACTCAACCCCTCCCTGCAAAGTTAAAGGTAAAAAGTCTCTGAAAATTAATCTAAGCTATTAATAATGAAAAGTCTTGGAAAATTCAGAGAACTCTTGATATCCAATATAGCCTTTTACCTTGATCACTGTGTAGGGAAGGGCTTACTTGAATTTTTGTTTAAATGCAAATACTTGAAAAATTATTTGCAATACTCTCAAAATTAATGACTAAACCCTTTAAACACAGCAAGTCATCACCTTTGTAGATGTTAAACACTTTGCATTTAAGTAAGCAGATCATTTGTGGGAAATGCATCTAAAAAATCCTTAATATCCTACATTCCATTGTTGTTATTAGGTGAAGTAATAAATATCTGTTTCCTCTTCTGAGTATTCAAAATGCTGTAGTAAAATTTCCCCCTATTAGTGCTGATGGGGGAATAAAAGGTTTGACCACTATTAGCATCAAGCAGAGTGGTTTAAGTAACACTGTCTGTATAATGTAGATATTAACATCAGGCTGTCTTTGTGCAGAGCTATTAAACTGATAAATTTAGGGCCAACAACTGATTTGATTTTTTTTTCTAATTTGGTCAGCTCTTTGACTAAAGGGACTTAACCAACCAAGCATCTCAGGCTCACACACAGGAAAGGTGTCATCAACCCATATCCAACCCTTTCCTTTAAAAAATCAGGAAACATGGTCAAATTAGACAATGCATTAATAATAATTGGAATGGAAATTTATTAAAATTCTAAAAAAATACTTTCCATGAACACGAATGAGAGAAAGTAGCCCTTGGCACATAGAAAACCAGCTATGATCCCTTGTTTATGGTTGGAAAAGGTTAAGACCCTCTCTTCCTGCATTGGTCCTGATTTCCCATTAAGTGATGGAAGGCATTTAATTCACTGCCTGAATCCTTTATCTGACTGGTGTAGGTAGAATTCTTAAAGATATATAATAAAAAACATGGAAAATGTATGAAAAGAAGAGGAAAAAACATTTTAAATCTTGTATAAACAGTTAACAAGCAAGCAAGAGGAAATTAAAGTAAACTTTGCTGGCATCTTCCTTTACTTATATAAAGGAGACATGGAATAGCTATGTAAATGCAGAAATAAGTCTCAAATCTGTGAAAGCAAAAATTGTTTGTTTCAGTGCTTACAAAATAAATAGAATGCCTTTACTATTACAATATTCTCATCAGTACTTCAGGCATTCTTAACTTTCCTGAACAACTGAGCAAATGAGCAGTCATAACTTTGTCATGGATTCATTCTGAGGAAAATATAACCCTTGCAAGGGAAAGCACAAGAAGAAAATAATGGTGCTTCATTTTATAGCTAGGGACATGCTTTATGTTCTTTTCACTCACTAGGGGAAAATGAACTTATTTTTGAGTCTAAATAGTACTATTCATGTTAAATCAAATTTAAACAAATATCTGACCCTTTCTCAAGACAGAAATAATTTCAAAGACTTCCAAGTTCACAGTAGATGCCTTTGTCTGCTAGTTGTGCATAGCTAAGTGCATGTGCCGGTGTTAGTGTAAGTTGCTTTATGAATTCCTAGTGGTATACTCAGAGTTCTTAAGGCTATGTCTGAGTACAGGACCTCAATTATAGACACAAGAAATTTAAACATTAAAACATTACTTTGAAATAACATTAAGGACCAGACAATGCAATAAACTGGTAATCTGAGCAATAAAGGAATTCGGCAAAACTCCACCACCTTTTCTAATTGAATGGTTGCAGATTTAAAATGAGGAACAACCTGCTTTGTGTTATGGGCTCAGATTTGTTTTCCTTTGATATCTGTTTATTTTGCTACTTCCCTCATATTATTCAAATAGTTTATCATATGCATAACTTGCCTTATTCTTTCCTTTATAAAATAGGAAACAAACTTAAAAACATGTAATATCAGTTCATTACTTAGGCAATCTCTCTAGAAAATGAGTTATGTAGAAGTGTTGATGTCATTTCTTCCTGATACCATGAATCACCTCCTAGTGGAAACTGGTCTTTTGATGCACTGGAGTGCATTTCAGACAGTATTATAGAATTATTAGACCTTAATAGCATTCTAGGAACTGCTTTTGTTTATCATCCAAACTACCTAGATGTATAGGAACACTTTCTGAAATAAATATTTCCTCTCAAATAATAGATAATGTACACAAAGTAAGCCACTTTTCAAAAAATCTTGGCATAAAGTGTTTATGATACATAAACTTGCCAGTATTGTATTCTGAACATACCTATCTCAATCGTAAGTCATAAAGCAGACATCAAATGACATTAAAAACTATATTTTTCTATTATTATTTGTTATGTATTCCTCATTTTGAAGTCTCCATGTTGAGGGATGGTTGAATCCAAAGTTTTTTACAACAAAGGTAAAATCTCTGAAAACCCAAGGTTTGGGGTAAGAAACACATAGACTCTTACCAGGACAGACAAAACCATTGCTCTGGAACACCAACACAATAGTTGTTGTGGGTTTGTTTTCCTGCATTGAGAGCCAGAGAACCCATATAAGACAAAAACACAATTGCTCCAGGTGACAGCACATAAAAGAATAGCAGTGGTTTGGGGACAGTTACTGTATCTAGCTATAAAACCAGATTTTAAACTTGAGGTTATGGACAGATTATAAAATGTTAACAGCTAGATAAACTGTAAAATATGCATTATCTGCACATGAAAAGGTAAAGATTTATAAACACTAAAATACTGGGTCTATTGGCATTTAATGAAATCTTTCCCCAATCTTGATTTCTGCATAGGGTGGGAAATTAAAAAAATTTAAAAAAAAGGAAAAACCTGCTCTGCTGAGATTTTTTTCTCCCCAAACAAATTACCTAAACCAACCAAACCAAAATTCTCCTTTCTACTACCCAGTGGTAGATATTTACCTATTTGCATACCTAGCAACTGAAAACAGGAAAATTTTCTGCCAACCAATGATGCCCTTTGCCCATCAGGTAAATACCTGGGTTTTTCAGCTTTCTAGGTGTTTTCCTCACACTGCTACGGCAAAGGGCCTTTTTTTTTTTCCTGGAAAGGAAAGGAAAGGAAAGGAAAGGAAAGGAAAGGAAAGGAAAGGAAAGGAAAGGAAAGGAGAAAGGGAAGGGGAAGGGGGAAGGGAAGGGCGAAGGGAAGGGCGAAGGGAAGGAGGAAGGGAAGGGCGAAGGGAAGGAGGAAGGGAAGGAGGAAGGGAAGGGAAGAAAAGGAAGGGAGGGTGGGTCATGGAAGAGGAGGACTCCTCTGGGTCTTGCAGTGGCTGATCCAGGCCCTCTGGACCCATCGCATCATGGCCAGACACCATGGTGTGATGCTTACTTCGGTTTGGTTAAGCCCTGTTTTCTGCAAAGGCAAGTAAAGGCGACTTCCAAATATTCAGTACATTAAAGAAAAAAGAGGAAAAATTGTTTTTAAAAGGTTGAAAAAAGAAAAAGGTGCTTGCAAATAATTCCCAGGGACTTATCTTGGGAAGAGAAGCCCATGTGCAGTGTGGCATCCCCTCTCTAGCATCTCCTGCCCACCCCCCACCCCCCACCTCCCCCAGGAGGAGACAAAGACCTCCTCGGTCCAGGGTCTGCAGTAGAGACAGTCCTAAAAGCCTTTCCTTAGAGAAAGCAAAACTTATTTTAGTGGTTCCAGGGAAGGTTGTATTCCTTGACGTGTGGTCCATCCACATTGGCCTTGGGAACCTCATAACTTTTTGGCACTGTGGTGGCACGCAGCTGCCCGGATGGTGGTCCCAGCCAAGCCTCGGTTGCTGACCCTGCGGACCAGCACTTTGGACACTGGGATTTTTGTTCTGGGCACCTCGCTCCTGGCTGGTTGCTGATGAACCACATGATGGCTCGATGGAAGATTCGCGAGGTGCTTGACGCTGATAGGGATTTTAGAGTCCTTCGGCAAACTGCCTGGTGTTCGCAGTGGGCACGTGATGGTGACCGGAGACACTGGCTTTAACCGGGACATGCAGGACGTCTCCTCGCTGGCAGGAGGGACTGCTGGGCTTCCATCGGGATCCACGTAGAGATCATAGAGCGCATCACCACTGTAGCTATCCCTGGGGATGCTGGCCTTTTTCCCACTGCTTGTGCTGTCATCCTCTGGGCCCGGAGTGGTGGAATCCCAGTAGCCCTCATCACTGTTTGGGACACCTTCATGCTGTTCCTTCTGCAGGTGCTTAGGCTCCTCCTTGGGATGGGACTCAATGGGAATCCGGTTGAGCCTCCTGCACATGACCAAAGACACATCCTTGGCCACTTCTGCACACCTGGTGTCCTTGGAGGTCTCCGGTACCACCTTGGCGTCCAGTGAGGCCGCTGCCTTAACTGGTCCCTCTTGGGGTCCTTGTCCTCTGTCCTCAGTCTGGGAGAGCATGTCCCAGAATTCCTGGAGATAGGTGTCGTCCACATCATCGGGACTCGCCATCTCCTCCCCTCCTCCTTGGTAGGCCACTGCGCTGGCGTTCTTTTTAGAGGCAACTGGCTTGCCTGGCCCAGGGGCATGCTTGTCACAGCTGGGATCTGCCTCTTCCTCTTGGTCTGCAATAATATCTCCACAGCCTGTAAGAGAGTCAAAGCTTTTCAGTGAAGTCACGTCAGAAAACATCAAACAAATACGATCGGCCGATGGGTCTGAGGGTGGATCAACAGAGGAAGGGGCAGGGATGGCAGACGCCTGGCCGCTGCCACAGTCGGAGTCGACAAGGGGGACAGTCTTTATCAGAACGTCACCTGTCCTGGAAGCATCCTCGGCTGTCCGGACCAACCCAACGCCCAGCTCAGGGGGTGCCCGGGGATCCTCGGCGCGCTGATGCCCCGCGGCGTCCTCTCCCTGGGTGGTAGTGGCGTCAGGGGCCCCGGGGCTCTCGGCCTTTCGGCAGTGGGGCACTTCGGCAGGATCGGTGGAGGCCAGCCCGGGCTCTCCCCCTCCGCGCTCACCTGCTGGATCTGGTATTGTGTCCTTGCTGAGGTTCTCCGACGCGCACGCGGGTCCGGGCGCTTCCTCCCTGACGCACTCCAGGCTGGCCGTGAGCGACCCCGGTAGGGCGAGGCTGCCCGGGCCCCCAGCGCGCGCCTCACGTTCCCCCTCCTTGCCGCGCTTGTCCTTCCTGTGCCAGCGCACACTGCTGAAGAGCCCTCTCAGCCCCCTCTTTTGTTTGCCGCCAGCCTTTCCTGCATCTACCGTGTCCCCTTTGCTATTTTCGGACCTCCCATTCTTTTTCAAAAGGGAGAAGAAGCTGTGTGATTTAGCTACCGAGCTGCTGGCCGGCAAGCCCACGCCGGACCCCGCAGCTCTGGGCGGACCAGGGTTTGGCCGACCTCCGCCGCGGTCACTGCTGGCACAGCCACCATCGCCTCCACCGCGTGGCTCCTCCTTTCTGCCGCTCTCCAGCACCACCACCTCGGCTAGTCCGTCGTGGGTCCTGCTCCTCACCATGCCCGGCGGACCCGAGCCTTTCCCGTCCCCTTTGTTTTTGACCCCAAATATGCTGGGTATGTTACTACCCGATTTCCTCTTCTTGAATAATTTGAAAGCAGCTTTGTTAATCTTCCCCGAAGGCTGCTCGGAGGCCGGAGTTCCGGCAGCACAATCGCAAGGCAAGTCCATGTCTGCCGCAAGGGTCCGAGCACCCGCCTCCTCCTGCCTCCTGCAGACCCCCGCGGTCGTGCCACCGCTGCCGCTGCGCGCGCTGACAGCCCCTCCGCCGCAGCTGCGGCGCGCGCTCGTCTCCATGGAAACCAAGCGGGCTAATCTGCTTTCGTCAGCTGTGGGCTCGCGCCAGGCCACTGTCATTCGGAGTCTAAATCAACCGGAGCCACTCTGCTGCTGCTGCTGTAACACACAGAAGAAAAAAGAAAAGAAAAAAAAATCTCCCCACCCGCCAACAGCTTATATAACCCTAACCCACTTCGGATCCATCCGATTTGGCTTTGCGCTCTGTGGTGTTTTATTGTGGCAAGAGCAGGCAACAGAGCTTCGAGCTCATTGCAGAATTTAGAGTCGTAATTATGGAATTCAAATTCCATCCAATCTTACCCACCTTCAGTTCCTGCCTCTAGATTTGCTCTTTTACAAAATGCCCCCACAATAGACAAAAATAAAAAAATTCAACCAACACAAAATGCTTAGTCTTCTTATCACCTATCTTGGACTTCGTGAATCTTCGTGCCTTTTCCAAGCCCTTCATTTGTGTCCTTAACATTTAGTTACCGACCCCAGCAGACATGGAGCATATCTCTTTACATCTGTGTCTTATCCTGTGCTGAGCACAATATCCAGTCGATGTTAAATCCTTATGGTTGCCTGTTCCGATCCTTGCTACCCAAACACCAGCCATCGCATACCCATTAGTAACTCTCAGTAAGGAAAGTGCAACAGTTCTGTGGATGGAAGTTGACTGGTCCTATGGGACAACCATGGCTTTATCCTAGACTCCAGCTCATGAGGCTGATGTCACAGAAGTCACTGCCCAGTCTGCATTTGGTCACAATGGAGTGAGCTGAAGATAGACTCTCAGGTCCACTCCAGAGGAGCTCCTTGGAATCCAGAGTCTATCTTCCCCTTTTCCATCCTTGCCACTGTCACCCCCTCTTCAATAGCCCCCAGTTCTGTTCCACTGCCCCCTTCCCCTGTGGAGCAGGGGAAACCTGGCAGGGTCCCTAGTGCCTAAGTCTGCAGCTGCTTGATCTAGGAAAGGAAAACCTTACCCTAGGGAGCAGCCCAATCTAAGTATGTATCTCTTCTGTGCTTTGACTTAGAAGGTAACTGCTAAATTTTAACCTTGACATCTGATTCATAAACCTGGCTGACGGTTTATTAGCAAAAACAGAAATATGGAGAAGCATGTACATATATATAATCTATATGCTGAATATCATGTTTAAATGTTTAATAATGTATCTTGCTATTTATTAGATACTATTTAGTACTATGTAATATTATGCATATACAGATATCAATCTTTTCCTGAATCATCTTGAGCTTCTTCATCTTTTGTGTGTGACTTGCATTGTACCAAGAAACCCTAATTGCGGTCCTTGCAGTCCTTGCATGGCACATAGTCGGTCTGGATTTCAGCCTGGGGTTATCACCTATATACTACGCTTTCTCATTGGTTTTTATAAAGAACACTGTTTTGTGAAATGAAGAGATCAGTGATTTTAGATTCAGGAGAGGTTTTCATTCTCAGCATTGTAATTTCATCAGCTCTCTCCCACTCTTAGCCTATACCTCTCCCAGATGGGGTGCAAGGCTGACACGAGAGAGGCTGTTCCCAGTTCCAGGTGACCACTTGCCACCATGCATCAGGGACTTCCCTGCCTTGGGGAGAGAACAGGTGTTAATAACTATAAGGAAAAACTCATTTGTCTTCTCTCCACGACCTTTTGAGGACAGTTGAAAATCTTTCTCAATTTTTTTACAAACACCATACATTTGCTTAGCTACTGGGTTACTACATAACTGTGTCAGTCTGGATGAAATTATGACTGGGATCAGGGAAAAATGCAGGAGTCTATAAATATCTCTGCTTCTCCAGCCCAGAGCAAAGAATGAGAGGTGAATCTGCCTGTCTGCTGGGACCTCTGACCTAGCAGGACAGGCCATTTACATGAGAATCCTTAAGCCCCCTGGGAGAAATTTGGCAAGGACTTTGGGATGGATATCATTCCTCTGGGACACAGACATTCAAACAAAGAGATCCGGACAAAGCAGTCCTCAGTCTGGGGAAGAGGTTCCAGTGGCAGTAGCAAGTCACTGGCCCTGAGGTGGAAGAATGTTAGGATCCTCGGAACCATCAAGACTTGAAGGCACAGGGCAAGGTGAGTTTTAGAAGCTATGGTTTCTACGAGGGCTCTCCCATGTCCTCCAACCCAAGATCCTCTTTATAGAGACTATGAGAGAAAGGCCAGTAAAGCCAGCTTACGAAGACCTTACCAGAAGAACCAGACAGTCAAACTGTTGGGTGGCGGATTGACGTCAAAGGCCATTATTAGGAATGAATGCAAAGGTTTACCTGCCCTTAAGTGTCTCTTAACTGTCAAGCATGGGGAAGCAGATTACATTTACACAAAATAGTTTTTTCCCTGAAAGACAGATCATGACAGTGAAGAAAAATTTTACCAGAAGCACCCCCTGTTTGGGGTTACAGTTTCATTTCTCATTCTTTTCCCCTCCCTTGCCACTGCCCCACCCTGCCCCAATTTAGAGAGTGAACAGAAAATACCAGTAGAAAGGACTAGAGAGAGGGGCTGAGGGGAAATGATTAAGGAAAAAGCTATTCCAAAGTGACAGGATTCTTCATGAATGTAAACAGCAAGTGGATTCTACTGAAGACAGGTGCGTGCTTTTCTTTTTTGGCACAAGGAAGAGTTTGTTGTTCAGTTGGGCTTTTTCTCTCTGGGTAGCTAGTGTCTCTGGAGAGGATAATCAAAGCAAGAAAAAAGAGACACAGGAGGAATCATTTGAGAGCCTATCATCATCATTAATTCCTTTTTCAGGGTGTCTTCTGGCCCCTGCCTGGCCCCTGCCTTTGTCCTAAGCTTACTGAGTGAAATTTTCTACCTGCAGGAAACCATCCAGAACATAATGTGGAAAAGGCTGGGTGAGGAATTGCTGTTGGAACTGTGGGAAGGCTGCTGCTGTGGGGCTGCCTATGTCACAGCTTCACCATGAAGGACACTGCTGGCCTTTCCTTAAATTTGCATGAGGTCTTTAAAGGGCTAATGCTTAATCAATGAAGTTGGGAAAAGATACTTGAATTTGGACAAACACCTCCTATTTCCAACCTGTTAGCCTGCTCTGGACCCCAGACCAAATGGAAATACAAGCTTGAGAAGGCTCTGTGATGCCAGTGAGGACACTCAAATGTCCTCCAACCCAGAGTCCCTGTTATAACTATCAGAAAGAGCCCCAGCTTTGTTAACCTTGACCCTTACCCCCTGATCCACTCTGTCCACATACCCCAGGCCTAGCCTTGCCCTCCAAGGAATGCCATGGACTTCATACAAGCTGAGACCACGAGGTTAAGTGCTCAGATGCCAGGATAGAAACATGTAGCTGTCTTTCGCAGGGAGCCTGGCCCAGAGGTCAGTACTACAGTGCTTTCGTGCATCCTCCTTATTGGAGAAGACTCTGGTCCAGGGTGGACAGGATGAGAACAAGCAAGGTCTAAGCACAACTGTAAGTGCTGAGCTAAACAGGTTTTTGTTTTCTTTTGCAGATTTTGATTCCTGATTTTTCCTGAATAGCAGCTTCACTGTAGGTTAATAGCTGTTCTGGATTTATGTTTATTCAGAGGAGAAATTAATTTCTAATTAGCAATATGCGTGTGTGAAAAGCCCAGCATGACTTGTACTTTTACACATTAACCCTGGTGTACAGCTGAGGCTGTTGAAGGGAGAGTGCTCATGTCGAGGAGAGAGGGTCCCGCATTGGCTCTGTGGTGATGGGGAAGTTCAGGACATGAGGTGTTCTGGTTCAGCTGGTATCACCACTCAAGACGTCATTTTGGCCTGGCCTCCATGAGATGAACCAGCATCCTAGGGCAAGGGGTTGTACAACAGAAGACCAAGTAAAAGCAAAATGAGCATTTGTCTATGATGTTGGTGGGTCCCAGGGGGAACAGGCCCTGCTACAGCTGACAGGGCTGGCACAGAGCAGTTCCCATGCCTCTCCACCAGCTGGTTACTGCCAGCAATGCTCACTTTCTAAATATATCATTCTAAACTCTACCACTGTCTGCCCACAGTGCTCACCTCCATGTGTCTGTCTACCTGTGTCTCTCTTCTTCTTCTAAGGACAATAGTCACATGGGATTGAGGGTCTGCTCTATTCCAGCACCACCTTAATTTACATTTTAGCCACATCTGCAAAAAGACCTTGTTTTCAAATAAGTTCACATTCACAGGTACCAGGGATTAGGACTTGAAGATGTCTTTTGGGTGATTCAACCCACAACAAGCATCATTGCCAGCAATGGAGATGGCACTTCCCCTTTATTCCCTCCATGCAGTCACCAGGGCCCTTGGCACAGACATTAACGTTGGTGGGTTCATACTTACTCCAGCAAGTGAGGGCCCTCAGTAGATTTCAATGTCATCTGGGGGGGCACTTGTGGGGTTGCCAGCAATGAGAGTGCATTATCACTGCCAGCCAGAGTAAACAAGAAATAAAATGGTGGTGGCCAAGAGGATTAGACCTTGGCATACGTATCTCTCAGGATTGTCCAGGAGGAATGTAAAGGGGGTGTTAGAATTCCCATGTAGTAAATAGGATAGAACAAAACAACCACTGTGGCTATTACTGCATGTAATTTATTTCCTGCATGTAAGTCAAAGTGGAATGAGAATCATGTTCTTCATAACCTCTAGTCTACTTCTCCTCATAGTTCTCTTTTCTCCTGGTCTGCTACTTGGCTAGAGCTACTCTTAGAATATATTGTCTCAGATTGCAGAGTGGGTTGGGGTCTCTCCAATGTGTCAGGACCAGGGTGGGCACAGGGAAGCCAAAAGCAAAGCAGGATGAGGTCAGATAGGAGAGGGCATGTGGACAGGATGCCAGGACTTTGGGCATGGATGAATGCACAGTAGGGAGTAGCCACACTCAATAGTCAGAATCAGCTAATCCTAGCACAGGTGCAAACTAGAACTGAGTCCAAGATGAGGGCTCACAGGTGTTAATGAGTAGGCAAGACACAGGAATTCAAGAGTGTGAGCCTGGAGAGGACTGTTAAA